AATTCCCCTGGCAGCATGCATATCCGTTTCAGATGGCTATCACCTCAGTTCTATCCTATAAACATTCTGAATGTTTGACAGGCAGCTTTGTTTGCAACCAATTACACCCAGTGGTGAGATTTTGAACAAGTGGCACAGTGATCCGGTAAGGGTAAGAAAGAAAACTCCCTTATGCCTGCAAGCCCAAAGAGAAGAGAAGAGCAGCACCAAATATCCAAAATTATGAATATTTTCAGCTATAGAGAACTTTTAGAAAGTCAGACTAGTTTAAAAAAACCTGAGTTTTCTAGACTAGAAATGTTAAATTTACACAAGCTCAAAATTTGAGAGAAAATTTTTATAAAATGTTTTACAGATGGCACTTAGATCCTAAAAAATTATCTTGTATGTATCCTAATATACAGCCCAAATGTTGGAGATGTGGCAATAAAGATGCGACATATTTTCATATTTGGTGGAATTGTAAAAAGGTAAAGGCATTTTGGATTATGATTTGGTGGAACATTCAAAAGATTTTTAGAAGGAAGATAAAGTTTACTCCTCAACTATTTTTATTGGGTATCTTTGTGGATTTAAATGATAAAGAAACTATTTTGATGTTGAATTTATTAACTGCCGCAAGGTTATTAATAGGTTTATATTGGAAGAAAGATTCTTTGCCTACTTTAGAAGAATGGGTATTTAAAGTATCTAGTTTTGCAGAGATGGCAAAAATTTCTGCCTATTTAAAGGATCATACACAAGAAAGATATATTACTGTATGGAGAAGATGGATAGATTATATTCAGAAATAGTATGGAACTAAAAAGTTTCACTTATTTTATGAATGAATATTATAGTAAATATTACAGAGAATTGTCTTATAGGCTATTGGAGTTAAAGGTTAAGTATGATAATTTTTTTTCCTTTTTTTATTATTATTTTTTCTTTTTTTCTCTTTTTTCTTTTTCTTTTCTTCTTTCTTATTATTATAAATTCTTTTAATTATTAATCCTGTATTCTGCTCTGGGAAGTGAAGGGAGGGGGGTTGGGGGTGGGAGGGAGGAAATGTGGGGGGGGGTAAGTGTAATATAGATAATGGTTGCTTATAGGGGTGCGGCCTGGGCACTCCCCTTATGCTGCGTTCATGGGTTTGATAGGGATGAGAGGTGAGAAAGTGTAGAGAGGAAGTAGGGCAGTGAGAGGAGAGGGGGAGGGGAAGAGAGTAGGATGGGAGGTGAGAAAGAGGAGGGAAGTAGGGAATGTTTTAAGAGAGGGTGGACGCAGCCTGGGGGGAGTGCGCAGGTCGTAATAATGTTTATTTTATCTTAAAATTGTATTGTATACTGTTTTTTATAATGTTTATATGGAAAAAATAAAAAACTTTCATTGAAAAAAAAAACCTGAGTTTTCGCAAAGCTAAATTTCAGTTTCCTGATTCAGGAACAGAGTACGTAAGCCAAAAATTGGATATAAAGTCAACTGTTCACCCCTTAGAAATCTGTCAACAGATACTGGGTACTATCTGGGTCACCACGATGTAAAAAAGATGTTGAGACTCTAGAAACAGTACAGAGAAGAGCAACAAAGATGATCAAGGGACTGGAGGCTAAAGCATATAAGGAACAGTTGCTGGAATTGGGTATGTCTAGTTTAACGAAGAGAAGGACGAGGGGGGACATGATAGCAGTGTTCCAATATCTCAGGGGCTGCCACAAAGAAGAGGGAGTCAAGCTATTCTCCAAAGCGCCTAAAGACAGAACAAGAAGCAACGGATGGAAACTAATCAAGGAGAGAAGCAATCTAGAACTAAGGAGAAACTTCCTGACAGTTAAAACAATTAACCAGTGGAACAACCTGCCTCCAGAAACGGTGAATGCTCCAACACTGGAAGTTTTTAAGAACAGACTGGACAGCCATTTGTCCAAAATGGTATAGGGTTTCCTGCCTGAGCAGGGGGTTGGACTAGATGACCTCCAAGGTCCCTTCCAACTTTACTATTACTACTACTACTACTACTACTGCTACTACTACTACTACTACGGATTCAGTGTGTGTAGTGTGCCTTCAAGTCAGTGTTGACTCTGGGTGATTGCCTGGACAAGATCCCGGAGGTTTTCTTGGCAAGGTTTCAGAAGTGGCTCACCATTGCCTCCTTCCCAGGGCTGAGAGAGAATGACTGGCCCAAAGTCCCCCAACAATAGTCAGAACTAGAACTCACGGTCTCCTAGTGTCTAGTCTTATGCCTTTAATCATTGCACCACACTGGCTCTCGTGAAGGGTACAGGTAGTCTTTGACTTGCAACAGTTCATTTAGTGACCATTTGAAGTTATAGTGGCACTGAAAAAAGGGACTTGCCGTTTTTCACACAACCATTGCACCATTGCCATGATCACGTGATCAAAATTCAGATGCTTGGCAACTGACTCCTAATGGCTGTAGTGTCCTGGGGTCATGTGATCTCCTTTTATGACCTTTCTTGTGAATCACTGCGGTTGTTAAGGTAATAACAATGTTATTAAGTGAATCTGGCTTCCCCATTGACTGACAAGCAAAGTCAATGGGGAAGCCAAATTCACTTAACAACATTGTTACTAACTTAACAACTACAGTGAAGAAAGGTCATAAAATGGGTGGGGTTAAAACTCACTTGGCAACTGTACTGCTTAGCAAATTTTGGGCTCAGTTGTGGTCATACGTTGAGGACTACCTATATATATCCAAGTGAAAATCTACACTCAAATCCTACAGATTTCAAAGTATCGATGGGAATAGTGGTCACAGGTGACTATCCCATCAGTTCTCAGGCTATAAAGCCATGGACAATCAATTGCACAAGGAAGCCCATCAATCTCCCAGCAGAGGGTCTTCAGGGGCAGCCCCATCAAGGCATAAGAGCCATTGATCTACCTGATTTCATGAATTGATCCAGCCCCCTTACTAATCAAGAAGAGAAGCAACCTAGAACTAAAAAAAAATCCCTGATAGTTAGAACAATTAATCAGTGGAACTACTTGCCTCCAGAAGTTGTGCATGCTCCAACACTGGAAGTTTTTAAGAAGAGATTTGTCTGAAATGGTATAGGGTTTCCTGCCTGAGCAGGAGGTTGGACTAGAAGACCTCCAAGGTCCCTTCCAACTCTACTCTACTCTACTCTACTCTACTCTATTATATTCTGAATCTCTATTCTATTCTATTCTATTCTGTTCTGTTTTCTATTCTGTTCTATTCTATTCTGTTTTCTATTCTATTGTTTTCTATTCTATTCTATTCTGTTTTCTATTCTATTCTGTTTTCTATTCTATTCTATTCTGTTTTCTATTCTGTTCTCTATTCTATTCTGTTTTCTATTCTATTCTATTCTGTTTTCTATTCTATTCTGCTTTCTATTCTATTCTGTTTTCTATTCTATTCTATTCTATTCTGTTTTCTATTCTATTCTACTCTGTTTTCTATTCTATTCTGCTTTCTATTCTATTCTGTTTTCTATTCTATTCTATTCTATTCTGTTTTCTATTCTATTCTACTCTGTTTTCTATTCTATTCTACTCTATTCTATTCTATTCTATTCTGTTCTATTCTGTTTTCTATTCCTATTCTATTCTATTCTATTCTGTTTTCTATTCTGTTCTATTCTATTCTATTCTATTGTGTTTTCTACTCTACTCTACTCTACTCTACTCTACTCTACTCTATTCTATTCTATTCTATTCTATTCTATTCTATTCTATTCTATTCTATTCTATTCTATTCTATGGAAGCTAACCTTACTGATCACCAGCACCCCATCTCAAGGCAGCCAATTCTAAAGTTGAATTAGACATTGTGGAAAAAAAGAAAAGAAAGACCTTTCTTTTGTCTTTCTCCTTTCTTCTAGTATTCAATTTCATGGGATCACCTCTGGTTCTAATAAGGTTTTTACCCGCTTTGCCTATTGCTTCCTGGGGATCAAAAAGGGAGAGGGCTTTTTCTGGAGTGACATAACCATTTACGAGAGTGGCCCATCCAGCAGCCACATGAGCAACTCAGCACTTTTCTGTTTTTCAGGCTTTTTGAATTGTCTTTAATTGTACTTTAATTTATACTGTTTTAGATTTTGAAAATTAGATGGCCTAGTTTTCATCCATCATTTTATTTGATTTTATCGTATATATGCTTATATTCAAATTGTATCATTTGGTAGATTTTATTATAAACCACCCAGGGAACTATGGTTACTGAATGGGCTAAACATTTTGATAGACAGACAGATAGATTTATCTATCAACTTTAAAAATAAGAGTCCCATCAAGGATAAAGAAAGTAGCCTAGTTACTGTTGCTCTAATTCCAGATTCCAAAGCAAAGATTGCCTTTCTTAGCTTAGTGTTAAACTAAGAAGTGTATTCTGGGTTCAGAATAATTGTAAACAGAGGGCTTAGAAAAACTACAGATGATTCAGTTGTGCTGCTCCACCTTTCCTCACCCTTTCTGATCACAGATGGAAGAGATAAATTAGAAAAAGCCAAAACATTTTTGGGAAGCCAATTATATTTATTTTTAAAAGCTGGGATCAAATAAAAGGATCAGGTTTGGCCTAAGCCCTGGAAAACACACCCAAGTTCTTCCAGATGTTTCTACTACGTTAGACATGTTTGATACGGCAGATGGAGTAAATGACACAACATATAGGAAATAACATCCACTTAATCTTAATCAAATGTACCGTAAATGTAAAAAGGACTACTCCCATCCACTTTGTGGAGTGGACTCTTCCCCATAGGCTGGAAAAAAGCACAGCGTTGAAGGTTCCATTCAACAAAACAGATGTGTGTATGAATGGATGCAATGATGACACAATTCCATAAAGGCAGCAGATTCAGCAACAAAAACACTTTTTTCCTTATGCAATTAATTGTGTGCACCTGCCCCACCCTTCTTGCTGAGACAAATTCCAAAAACTCAGAAGGAGCATTTTGATCTAATTTGGGTTGTGTAGAGAAACTGGTCAGACATTCAAAGGTTTTCCCATCAAAACTTACCTTGCTTATTAACTGCCATGATCTTCTCAGGTGGGACTCTGCCCCAGACATCCACTAAACCGGCCGTGTGAATGACCACATGGGCGCCTTTGACTGCTGGCTTCACATCCTCTGGCTTGCTGATGTCTCCCTGGATGAGAGTCACTTTAATTTTCCAGAGCAAAAAGAAAGAGATAAATTAACTTCTTTAATTAGAGGAAAAAACACAATCTACATCAATGGGTGACTAGAAACATCTTAAGGGCTTTTTGCATAAAAATGACAAGAAAAAATGAAGTTGTCATGTGTGCTTTGGTGATTAGACTAGACAGATGATAGAAAATAAGAGTATTACGATGTAGCTTTAGAGACAGGGGTTAAAATATAATTGTTCCTAAAACTGCTGTGAAGTATATCAGAAGCCACTTCTTCGTATCTTTTTTTTCTTTCTTTCTCTTAAATTTTCTGGCCCTTTTTGCTTTCGCTTTGCTTTCTTCCTTTTTTTTCTTCCGTATTTGGATTAGTTTTTCCACTTTTTTATATATCAAAATATATTGAAAAAATAGAAAGAGAAAGAGAGAATGAATGAATGAATGAATGAATGAGGTTTTTAAGTGATGGTCAGAAGCCTGCAGCACAGCTTTATCAACAAAAAAAAAGACACAGCAGCAAGAAACACACAAGAGAATAAAACAGATAAAGTATTGTTGACTTGTTCTCTTCCTTTCCCCAGGCAAAATCAAAGGGGCAGAAAAGAAACGAGAGGACATCAACAACTGAACCACAGCTCCAACCTGGGGGGCAGAGTTTGGAACACGTGAATGGTGCCTGGAAATAGCAAGTGGAAACCCGGCCCAGAAATCGATTCTGGATCTTGCCGTCTTCTAAGAATATTGTGATCTGTGTAGGAGCCTCTGTTCTGCCCTTCTGCTGCTTACGCCCTCTTTGAAGGGAGGGAGGGGATGTAGACCATGTAAAGTAATTCTAAAATATCGGAAAGTTCATCGAGGCAGCAATGTTTGGCTGCAACGTCTTTTAACCTCGTTGTTTTCCAGATTGGTTTTACATTATTTTTAATTTGGTTCGACACTCAGAGACATTTGTTGAGATGAAAGGATTCGGAAGGGAGAGAGGGAGGAAGGGAGGAAGGAAGATGGGAATGAGAAAAAGGAAGGGAAGGAGGGAGAAATGGAGGGAGATGGGAATGAGAAAAAGGGAGGGAGGAAGGAGGAAGGAAGGAAGGAAGATGGGAATGAGAAAAAGGAAGGGGAGAAAAGGAGGGAGCTGAGAATGAGAAAAAGAGGGAGGAGGGGGGAAGGAAGATGGGAATGAGAAAAAGGAAGGGAAGGAGGGAGAAAAGGAGGAAGATGGGAATGAGAAAAAGGAAGGGGAGAAAAGGAGGAAGGAAGGAAGGAAGGAAGGAAGGAAGGAAGGAAGGAAGGAAGGAAGGAAGGAAGGAAGGAAGGAAGGAAGATGGGAATGAGAAAAGGGAAGGGAAGGAGGGAGAAAGGGAGGGAGATGAGAATGAGAAAGAGGAAGGGAGGGAGGGAGGGAGGAAGATGGGAATGAGAAAAAGGAAGGGAAGGAGGGAGGGAGGAAGGAAGATGGGAATGAGAAAAGGGAAGGGAAGGAGGGAGAAAGGGAGGGAGATGGGAATGAGAAAAAGGAAGGAAGGAAGGAAGGAAGGAAGGAAGGAAGGAAGGAAGGAAGGAAGGAAGGAAGGAAGGAAGGAAGATGGGAATGAGAAAAGAGAAGGGAAGGAGGAAGATAGATGTGATGTCAGCCAAACACTGACCTGTTAAAGCAAGTGCCTGGTAGGATTAGATCCAGACACACGGGGAGGGAGGCTATTAAAGAGGGGAGCATTGATAACACTTCCAAACCATTATTTGTTACCACTTGAAGAGGAGATCACGGTTTGATTGAGCTCACAGCATCATTTACTTTAGGGAGCTCATGTGGTTACAGTACTTCTGACTTTGCTCTCAATGGATTTGCCTTGGAGTCCCTACGGATTTAGGACAATCATGAGGGGCACACGTCTCAAGGGAACCACAAGGCAGTTAACCGGAGTGAGAAAAAAAAAAGATAAACTGTCTATTTATATTTATTATTTAATCTTTAAAAAGAATAAAAGAAATGAATATAATTTCTTATAATGTCAAGAGATACAAAATATATGTGGGGTAAATTTTAGAATGTAGGTAATTTCTTAGCAGCGTCGTACAGATATACTGTACAATTTCTAAATAAATACACCTAGCATATTGGGGGGGGGTATTAAAAAAAACCCCTTTATTGCTCAGGATCAAGTGATCCAAAAAAGTTTGGAGACCTGCAGCTTAGAAAACCTATGTAACGTTCCATCGTTTTTCCTGCTTGGAAAATAACTGAATACAGGTAGCCCTTGATTTATGACTGGAATTAGGACCAGAATTTCTGTTGTTAAGCAAAGCGGCTGTTAAGTGAGCCATGCCCAATTTTAGGGTCTTTTTTGCCATGGTTGTTAAACTCAGTTAAGTGAATCGTACGGTCATTAAGCAAATCCGGCTTCCTGCATTGAGTCGTGAATGGCAATCGCATGACCCTGGCAGGCCGTAACCATGATAGACACGTGCCAATTGCCAAGCGCCTGAATTCTGATCACGAGACCGTGGGGATGCGGCAAGGGTGGCTAAATGTGAGTACCGGTTGCAAATCACTTTTTCCAGTGCCGTTATGGCTTTGAACGGTCGCTAAACGAATGGTTGTAAGTCAAGGACTAACTGTATCTCAAAAATTCAGTTCACTGTGTGGAGTCCTGCAGGCAAGGTAAATTACCTCTGAGAAACAATGTGAACAAATTTCTGTGTAGTTTAAGAAAACCCTGCCCTCAATTCTCCCATTTCTATCTCCCTTATCAAGCACCTATTTTCTGTCATGTATCCCAGGGGTCCCCAATCCCCGGTCTGTGGCATGCCAGCAACCGGTCCACACAAACAAGAAAAGTCCCATCCGCAGGATGCAGGCACACACAAAATCACGCACCCTCCAGTCCATGCAAAAACCTATCTCCAAGGAATCGATCCCTGGTGCCCAAAAGGTTGGGGACCTCTGATGTAAACAGTTTCAACAACTTTGACTAATCCTGGTCAAAAACTGCATTAACCACCATGCACTGGAAGGGGCTGTGCCTCCAAGAGGAAGGAACGGACCCCAGCAGAGCGATAAAACAGGTGTTTCCTCCCTAAAAAACGTTATATAGAACTGGGGGGGAGGGAAGTAAGAATTGTGCAGAGGGAACGCCAGACAACGCCATCCATAAACCACACAATACAATTTTAAATCTCTGGATGACAATTTTAAGGTACCATTCTGCAGTGTATTAGTTAGCTCTTGCTCTGAGGGAGATTAGCAACTGAGGCCTAGAATGCCACACGTTCCTCTTCCCACCTCACTCCCTTTCCTTTTATGTTATGCTTTCTGATGTCATTACAGGTAGTCCTCAACATACGGTCACAACCGAGCCCAAAAGTTCTGTCGCTAAGTGAGATGTGTGTGAGGTGAGTTTTGCCCCATTATTACAAGCTCTCTTGCCATAGTTGTCATGTGAATCACTGCAGCTGTTAAGTTAGAAACTCGGTCCTGAGGTGAATCTGACTTCCCCATTGACTTTGCTTGTGAGAAAGTCACAACAGGGGATCACGGGACACTGCAACTGTCATAAATATGAATCAGGTGTCAGGCATCTGAATTTTGATCATGTGACCACGGGAATGCCGCCATGGTCGAAAGTGTGAAAGGCGGTCACAAATGACTAACTTTGAACGGTCACTAAATGAACTGGGGACTACCTGTAGTATTAAAGAGAGGGCTATCTTACTATGCAAGCCGCTCAGGCTAAGAAGTGTGGGATAAATGCTGGACATAAAGCAACCAAAAAGCAAAGCTATTTAATCAGATTATCTCTCTATCTTTCTCAGGGCCTGCCTTAAATCCCATTTTGCAGCACCGCTTGCACTTGACATTCACCGATGTCTCAAGCTTCGGAAGAGAAATCTGAGGCAGTGTGGTGTAATGGTATAATGGTGTGTGGTAGAGGCCTCGGGAGGATGGGCGGAGGGACGCTGTCAAGGAAGCAATCAGATAAGAAACAGCTTAGCCCGCAGCAAGAGAGTGGATAGGAGAAAGGGATTCAGGAAACACCCCCCCCCCTAGTTTCTCAGGCTGTAAAGGAGACGGGGAGGGGGAAAGGAAGAATTGTACTTTCATTCTTGCACGATTCTGTCAATGTAGCTTTACAATAAACAGAATGCAAGTAGTCCTCGACTTACGACCACAATGGAGCCCAAGATTTACATTGCTAAGTGAGACATTTTTTACAACTCTCCTTGCTCCATTGGTTAAACGAATCACTGCAGCCGTCAAGTTAGTAACGTAGTGGTTAAGTGAATCTGTCTTCCCCCGTTGACTTTGCTTGTCCCCGGGGACACTGCGACCCTCAGAAAGATGAACCAGTTGACTGATTTAATATTTAGGATTTAGATTCCTAATGGAGATGAAAACTAACTGTTAGATTATAGTTCTGAATTGTGATATGGAAAAAGCTTTGAGACAATGGAAGATACTTCATTAGTAACTGGAGAGTTACTAGGACAAGAAGTATTATTCCAAAAATTACATTCTTACTCTATTTCACAGATATATTCTATCTGTGAAATAGAGTAAGAATGTAATTTTTGGAATAATATGGCTATCTCAGGTATGATAATTATTTTGTAATGGAATGAGAATAAGGAAATGGATTTGTAAAACGAGGAGTTATTAGGATAAGAACTAGAATAGATTTGGGAAAAGTAAGAATGTAACTTTTGGAACAATATGTTTATTTTAGAGATCATAATTATTATGTAATGAAATGAGGGAAATCAGGGCTACCTGAAGTGCAAACAATATGGTCATTTAAGGCTAATTGGAATATGGTAATTGGAAAGCTTAAAAACAAGACATGGATCTGTATAAGTGAAATGTTATTGATAAATGAATTGATTGAGTGAGCTCTATTTAGAAATGTATTAACTTTAATATGTTAAATTAATTAAGGGAAATAGAGAGGGAACCTTTAAGGAGTTAACCTGAGGAATATATCTATGACTTTGTTATTGGATTATTGATTACCCCATCAC